TGCATAACGGGCGCGAGCGCAGACCCAACGGCAACCGCGGAGAGCGGGCAGAAAACTCCTCAGAGCTCTGAAAACCGCTAACATTTCCAGGCAATTTATGTGCCAAGAGAAATGATGCTCCTGCCAGGAGCCTCTCGCAAAGCGGCCGTCCATGACCGCGCCCCACCCCGCGAGTGAGGCGTCTGTCGAAATAATTGTCCGGCGACATGATGCTTCCAACACGGGACCCCGGGACAGGAACCAAGGCTTCCTCCATACTGACAGGGAATGAAGGCACCTGCTCGTAACCCGTATCAGACGGAACGGATTTCCCCTCGGGGAGAATTCCTTGGATTTTAACCACCACTGCAGGGCTCTCATTTGCAGCAGGCCAGACGGGATTACGCTGGACGCTGCCGCCATGAGACCCACAACACCCTCTAAGTGTTTCACAGTGATGGTGCAGCCTAGCTTCACTCTGGTCACCGAGGACAAAATGGACCCGACACATGCAGGTGACAAGTGGGCCCGCATCGTCGTGGAGTCCCACACCACCCCTAGGAACGTCAGCTCTTCTTCGCGTTGAGCCACAGCCCCAAACGCTGAAGATGGGCGAGGACGACATCTCGATGCCGAGCCGCTAACTCCCGAGACTGAGCCAAGATGAGCCAGTCGTCGATGTAGTTTAATATGCGGATGCCCAGGAGCCTCAGCGGGGCCAGAGCTGCATCCATGCATTTGGTGAACGTGCGAGGAGAGAGTGCTAGGCCGAACGGAAGAACCCGATATGGCTCCGCCATGCAAACATTTCATGGCGGAGGGGCTGGTGGCACGCTGAATTAGGTCTAGGTGGCCTTGCAAGGCAGTGCACAGCTGTGTGCACGGGAGTTGGGGAAGTCCAAAATTTCTAAATTAAGTTGGTATACAAAAAAGATGCAAATATATGCAAGTATAAAGACAAGTCTGAATGTGAAATTTTTCTTGGCAGTCTAAATGAATCAATTTGTTTGCAAGTTTTTGGTATGCAAGCCATTCAACTGACTTTGCACCTCTGGATGACCTAAAGAAACCACTTGGGTTCTTAGCTCAATTGGAAAACATAAACAACGGAAAACAAAATCAACAGTATATCTATCCAAGGTCTGCAAGACATTAAGTAAGTTTCCCTTAATAATTGGTATGGTGACCAAATTCTGGAAATGTGTTAGTCCATAGCCCTCTCCACAGAATTGGGGAAGAATTCAAGTCTGGTAGCTACATGGCTGCAGAAATGACCAGCAGATTACCACTCCCCCTCCACCACCAGCTCTTCCATTATATGTGAGCAATAAGCTAAAGGCAGATGATCTACACTAGCTTGCCATTCCTTACATCCAAAAAGCTTGACAGCGTTTGATTTACAACTGCATTAACTAATTACTGCATTGATAAACAAGACTACACTATATTGCAAACATAAAATGAAAAAAAAATGAAAAACTGAATAAATCGATTTTCCTGAAATTAGAAATTTTGAATGTTCTATGCATTAAAATGTTATCAGTGTTTCTTCTTTCTGTTGGGTGTACTATAGCACACTATCTGCATATGTAATTTCTGCATAAATGGAAATAAACATTTCATCACATTATCAGCTCATGAGTTAGCGTGGTGCCACCCTGACAGCCCATCATAAACATTCACTCATCAGACAGTGGACGTGTGAGTGATTGTGTTGTGCACTGTGAGAATTGTTCACTCTCACACATATTATTCAGTGTGAGAAACTCTGTATTGTGGTTTCTCGATTGCAGCCTGTCAACACATATCTTATCTGTCCTCCCATTTTAGAACACCCTACATGGATCTGGCCCCTAATTAGAACCAGAATCAGAATCAGCTTTTATTGCCAGGTATGTGTACACATAAAAGCAATTTGACTCAGGATTGTAAATTGCTCACAATGTGCTTACTCATACAAAAATAATAAAATAAAAATAAAATAATATCAGACACAGACTTCAGTGTAGACAACACAAATATACACACTATGAACAAAAACAATATAGACATATTGCCAAATAGTGCAGTGAGCAGAGTGCAAAGGATGCAGGAGTATGTACATATCGGAGGTGGATGTGATATACAGGTGCAGGTACATGTATACAGTGCAATGAAGCATAGTGCAAAGGATGCTGGAATAAATTAGTACAAGCAGTTTGTGTAGGAGTTATGACTTGAGGTAGGTGGATTGGTATACAGTATCTACAATATGACAATAACAGTATGAACAGCACTGAAATAGAATGGTGGATAAATAATAAGTGTTAGCCAGTAAACAGGTGGCTGATTACAGAGTTACTGGGTTATTGCACAAGAATTGTTCCTGACACCGTGAGTCAGAATCAGCTATTCATCAGAGTGATGGCTTGTGGGAAGAAACTGTTCCTAAGTTTGTTGGTTTTGGCATACAATGCTCTGTAGCGCCTACCGGAGGGGAGAATTAGATAAGCAAAGTGACTCATACCATATCAACAAAAGCCATCATCACTAACACTACTTCAATTTTTGAGACTTTCAGATTATTCGATCCCTTGTATACATAGACAACCACATGGGCCCCAGTGAATGGTGCTATTATGGCAGAGACCATTAGTTTCGGCTAGGTTGTATGGTACCCATCTCCTCTGTGACATTGGGTTTCTCCACATAATAGGTGAAAGAAAGTTGCAGAAAAGGCTACCTGAAAGGAGTTGGTTTCAAGAAGGAAAAATTGCAGACATGGTGAGGATTATGGTAAGAGAGACGCCATAATTGTGATTGTGAAAAGAGAATTTAGGTCATGATATAAATGTGTGCAAGACATGTATCATTCACTCAACTCTGTAGCGTTACATAAGGATCATGCAAAGTCATGCTACATCATGTCCTCTAATGATTTCATCAGTAACACTGGTGCATTTACAAAAGGTGGGAAGTAATGTTTTACCTCACAGTGATATAAGATTGCCCTACATCTGCACTAAATGGCTATTAATGTTCAGCTTGTTCTCAGACTACTGCAGCTGTTGATTTAAATTTATGGTGATTTTTTGGGGTAGATTGCAGGGTTTCTACACAAATACCCAGTCATTTTTATTTTGTCTAATGTTGATAAGGGTCTAATTATGAATACTTTTGCTAATCTTTTTTATCCTCATTTTGCATATGTTGTCATCCTTTTTTCAGACCTTTCCCCTTGCCATATTAAATAATTTGTGTTGCCTTGAATACTCACAAAAATGGTGCTTGTCAAACTGAAACTGACACATAATGCACATTAATCAGGAAGCATATGACTCACAAATACAAACTCAACAATTTGCTGTATTTGTAATTGTGATTTGCCTCCTGAATTGCTGGTGTTAGTTGCAAACACTTCAAAATTGGGTGGGAGGAAAAGTTTCAAGCAGTATAATTGTCAAGCAGAAGTCACAAGTGGATTGCTAACAGCACCAACAGAATGACACTTTTCAAGAATATTTTCTTAACAACCCTACAAACTAGTTCCTCAAAAAAGACTATTAAGTTTAAGCAACACTTTTGATACTGTCAAAACAAAACAAACAGTACAGGCTGAATTTTGAAGTGTTTGTGTTGTTTTATTCACCTCCTTGTATCTCTAGACCGATCACTGCTAAAACCTCCTTTCATTCATATTCATGACATAGTATTTTGTTTTACTTCTCTAACCTCTGTCTTTGGTGAGGTTAACTCTAACATGTCCCAGGGCATGTATTTTGTCATTAAAGGGAAACCATCTGGTCAGCATTTGCCTCCTTTAAAACTAATTGATGACAAGATTGAGTAAATAGCTGTATGTAAGTAGAAGTCATGCCCTTATTACATCTTTTTCCCCCATCTGAGTATACATCTACACTGTCAGCAAACCCATGTTGTCACATCTCAGCTTATCTTTTTTCAGTGTTTTGTCTGAGAATTCATTTTATGGAAGACATTAAGACAAAGTTTTTTCTTATTCATTCACACCATGTAACCCTTGAATGGAGAGAATCTATTTTGTTTTCCTTAATTAAATCAAGCAAACAGTACTATGATCTGAAGAATTACTCTTTGAAATGAAACAAAGAAATCAATCTTATAGTCATCTCTGTCAGGACAGAGGACAGAAGACAAGGGTTGAAAATGCAAACGGTAAGATGAATGAATGTTGTAAATTAAATTTATATCGAGTAATACAGTGTCAATAACACTCTTGTCCATCTCCCCCTCCAAACACCTTTTTCTCCGGTCTATTCCCGTAGGACGTCAGAGAACCAATGTCTCTCCATCTTCCTAATCCATTCCTCTGCCTTTGTATGAACAACAGATCAATCAGTGATAGAAAATCAATGTTTGCCTGAGAGCAGCTGTGGAGAGCTGGGAAAATGTTGAACGTTTTAGTTTGTTATTGCAGGGAACAGCCAGGCATGATGTTTATATGTAAAGGCCTCTGGAGTATGAGGATTTAATTAACCAATGACAGCTGGGATTTCCATATAACATATCTCAGAGGCCCTGGGCCTCATCATTCTATCTCAGGTCAAATCAGCATGGACACTGCTGCCAAATACCATTCAGATTTAGCAATGAGCCGTCCTTCACATTCCCACTGAGAACGTTAAAGGAGTGTCATGTAGCTGGAAAAATAAAAAAAACATTTGATTCACATCTTGAATTGGATAAATTCACCTCTTTTTCATGATGCACTGTTTTTGTATTGTGTCTGTAATTATACTACCTGTCTTTTCTACCCCACTGATCAAATGCACAAATAAAGTTGAAGTATATCTTTAATTACACCAAAGTAGTACAGGATTGAAAATGTTATCCAAGACAATTTATGAAAACACTGGTGAACATTATTAGTAAGAGTAAATGTGTGTGACAGCATGGTTGTGCATTTACTGATAAATGACAGAAGGCAGCATTAACAGCACACTACTACCATCTGGTGGTAAAGTGTAACTGTTCATATTCAAGGACAGGAAGCTTATAAACTTGTTCTCTGTAACCACTTCCCACCGTTCCCACAAACTCACAAAATTTGAAGTGAAGGGAGTTCAACATATATATTTTATTTATCTGGGGAAAAGACAGTAAAATAAATCCATAAAATGTGCATGGTATATTAATGATATCCTAAAATGTGTCAGTGGCAACTTTGGTCATTAGGTGTTTCCTTGTGTTCTTTTCTGGCCTTAGTAGAATTATGTAGCACTTTGGTACAAAGATGCAGCCCAGCAGTCCATAACTGGAGGCCAAGATAGCAAATACCTCTGTGACCGTAGAGTATTTCCCTGGAGAACTGATGTAGGCGGGAACAAAGGCTACCCACACTGAGCAGAAAATGAGCATGCTGAAATTGATCAGTCTGGCCTCATTGAAGTTGTCCGGGAGTTTCCTTGCCAGGAAGGCCAATAGAAGGCAGGCGCAGGCCAGCAGACCAATGTAGCCCAGGACGAGAGCAAATGCTATGGGTGAACCTTCGTCACACAAGAGAATGACAATAGCACTCTCACGTGGGATCAGTTGCCGTGGAGAGGGGGGAGCTACAACCAGCCACACTGTACAGATTATAACCTGCATAAAAAAATTAAAAATATCTTTGAAACATTTGAATAAATGCTCCCCTAAACATTCAAGCACATATAATGCCAGCGGTCCTTACCTGGACCAGTGTACAAATGGTAATGATTGTCTTTTGTTGTGCAGGCCCAAACCATTTCATGACATTACTGCCTGGATGTGTAGCCTTGAAGGCCATTAACACCACGATTGTTTTCCCCAGAATGCAAGAGATACATAGGACAAATGTGATCCCAAATGCTGTGTGGCGCAGCATGCAGGACCACTTAGAGGGCTGGCCTATGAAGGTCAGAGAACACAGGAAACACAGAGTCAAGGAGAAAAGCAGCAGGAAGCTCAGCTCAGAGTTGTTGGCCCTGACAATAGGGGTGGTTCTGTGACAGGAGAATATGAAGACTACAACACAGGTGCAGAAGGTGCCAATGAGGGAAATAGCCATCAGTGTGATGCCCATTGTATCTCTAAAGGAGAGGAACTCCACCTGTTTAGGGACACAGGCTGTCCTGTCAGCACTGGACCAGAACTCAGGGTGGCAGCGCACACACTCTATGGCATCTAAAGGAAATGCAAGAAGTCTTTAGCTGCTGTACTGTGGCTTTTCCTCTGAAACTGATTTTTAAACATAATGTGGGCTAGTTAATTTCCTTACCAGTCTGATTGCTAATCTCCCCAGCTTTGCAAACCACACAATCATGGCAACAGATAGGGAAGTGAGGTCTGATTGCCTTTCGGGTACCTGGGGCACAATTGCTGCTGCATACTGATAAGGGAACCTAAGCAAAAGAGAAATGCATTCTACAATGGTCACAACTCAGTCACATAATGAAAATATTAAAGCACAAAATGCAATTCACAAAACATTGTTTTATTCTGTAAAGATCCCTACTTTGGTTTGGTTGCCGATCCATACAATGTTCTGTTCCTGGATCTGGAGTTTTTGCTTTCCAACTGTGGTTGTCTCATCAAATTTTCCAATAGTGACAAACTCCATTTCTCCATTTGGTCTCAGCTGCCAGTTGACCAGGTCATACATGCCTGCAGGGTCGCCATTCTCATCAAACTTGGTTTCATCACCAAATGAATTCAAGTAGTCCACCTGTTTTATGTAATGAAGTAGCTATGGGAAGAAGGGACATACGATCACATATTACTACTCTTACTGTTAAGAGTCGTATTACCAGTATCTCTAAACACTGTTTTAGCATGACTGTAACTTTTTTAAATGTGAACTAAATTAGTGAGATGGTACCTGCCATGGCTGTATATTGTTTGCATCTGGACAGGCCTGCAAAGGAAATGGTCCTTTTGCTTTCACACAGCTTCTCGTAGCCTTGAGTGCATGGGCAATGGCATACACAGCCTTATAGACATTATAGGAAATCCTTAGCTGTGACACATCTGAATAGATATTTGTCACACTCCCCAGCTCTTCTGCTCCAGAGCATGGAGGTTTACCCTCAACATTACGCTCCTGACCTTCAGCCTGCACACTCAGGCTGCATTGAAACACCTCTTCCCAGAAGGGTATCAGGAAAGGATCTTCAACGGCATCTGGGCTCAAGGGATGCAAGCGAAGAAGAAAGTCTTGCAATCCAGGGATGCGTGCTCGTCGAATGGCAAATCCCATAGAACCCTGGAGGATGTGGTGGTACTTTTTAGGGGTGGAGAGGACAGCAGCTGTGCTCCAGGCCTCACTGGCCAGCCACTGTGTGTCAGTAAGCCCCTCGCTAAATTCAAGAGATATGTAGATGGCATTTTTTGTAAAGATAAACATCAGAAATTCTAACTGAATAAACTTGAATCAGTAAATAATAAATAAATAATAAAACCAAAAGTTGATTGCATTTTGTTCGTGTTATAAATGCAATAGCGCTGTTGAAAATTTGTGAAAAAGCGAGAAACATGCCTGAGTGCTACATCAAACAATGCAGCTGCATCTTGTTCTACAGCAAACACTAGAACCACACGAGTCCCAGAGGAGCGGATCTTAGAAACGATAGATGAAATGGCAGTCTGTGCTCGGTTTTTAGGGATGATCTCATAGAGGGCAACACAAGCACCTAACTTTCTAACCTACGAGAGCAACAGGAGAAATCAATGACAACTTACTTCATTTTATGTTCACAATATGTTAAAAGTTACACACTGAAAATGATAAAATAGCCTGAAGTGACCCACCTCATCGACAAAGATGTTTGCCCCACCACGGCCATAAGCATCATCCCCTGCAATCACACCCACCCAAGTCCAGCCAAAGTGCTTGACAAGTTGTACAAGTGCATCTACCTAGAGGTAATAAGAGGAAGACACAAAGATAATAATTAACTTTGTTTCATAAATGAAAATGTGGACATGTTTTGTTTGTGTGTAGAGGTTACATTGGGAGTAATCAAAGTGTGTGACGCCTCTAACCTGGAAAAGGTCACTGGGCATGGTCCTTAAAAAGGCAGGAAACTCCTTTTTGTCACTGAGACAAGCACAGCTGGAGAAATAACTAACCTAAATGGAAGACAACAATGCTCATCATTAAAACATTCTTAAATAATGACTTTGACTTTGACCTCTGCTGTGGCTTTAACACAAAGTAAACCACTGGGTCACAGTTGTTGAATAGCTATGACAAACATACCTGTGGCACATGGAAGACTCCCAGGAAACGGGCCACTACAAGAGACTGAGTAGAGCCTCCGTCTCCTATGACGGCTGGTACGGTCCCATGACATGTGACTTTACTCTGTGTCTCTCCTTCAACCCCTGAACCTTTCTCACTCCCCATTAACTCAATGACAGCCTTCAGAGCTTGATGGGGTGTACTGCATGAGTCATAGATCCTATAGCCCAGTGTGATGTTGGGAAGAAGTTTTCCATCTCTGTTAATCTCCTCGATGGCAAAGATCATAGTTTGCATCCAACGAAATGTCCTAAGGTTAAATCTGGAAGGAGAGATGATGTCTTGAGGCAGTTATACATTTTAACATAATTATATGTGTGCAGCCCTGTAAGAAAATAGTTTTATTTCAGTCAACATTGCACCCAAAACATGGATGCACAAAACTATGGAAGCAAGAGTTAAGAGATTACAGTTGCTTAATCAAAATTTTGCTATGTGCAAATTGAAAAAACGGTTTACCTGGTGCACTGTATGGGTGGAGGCGTAGAGGTGAAGGACAGACTGGGCTCCACCACCATGTCATGAAGGGAGAAGAGTCCCCCCAAGATGATGTCCCCCTTTTTCTCCAGCACAGGCAGGGACATCGAACCTGGGATAATTTTGCATAGTTGGCTCTGGTCTTGGTGGGACTTGTGGGGCAAAATGATATACCATAGGACACTCAAAAACAGAAGCTCAGTCCTTCTCCGTGAAAGACCATTCATCCAAAAATGATTCATCAATTCTAAACAGTCTATAAAGTCAATATCACATACTAACCGTGAACAACCCTGTAAGCATCTAACAGTTTGTCAGTTCTCATTTAAAAGCAAGAGCTAGTCCACAGAGATGCTGTCCTGTAGCCTTTATATGGTACCAATCTCATTTCACAAGTGTGAAATTGACCTAATTTCTCATGGGCTTCTGATCAATGGAAAAACAATTTCACAGTAAGTAACAACAATAACAAGGAAGTGGAATGAGCACCTGACCTTAATGAAGAAAGACATGAGCTGTGTCGTGTCACAGCGCTATGCCTGACTGGGCCTTACTCATTCTTCAGTGATGTGGAGAGACAGGCAATAGACCCATGTCACAAAGGGCTGCTAAACTACGTTACCTTTGAAACACATAGACAAACACACAAACAAACATGATACACCTAGTGAACTACTGACAAAGGAATCCAAAACTTTTAAGTATTGTTCACAATCATAAATAGAGAGGAAGATATGATAAAGTATTGTATTGTTTTGAATGTACATTTAATCTGAGCATATTACATTGCAGTGTTACCTGACATAAAAAGTAAACATTATGTAGTTATTTGCTTTCAAAATAATGGTAACTTCACATGAATCCAGGAATTTGTCTTACTAAATGTTTAATTATTTTTACAAACTGTCTATTAATGTCTTAATGTCTTATTAATATCCTTCTGTGGGGTTAAACAGGTTTAATATAGAAATTAATGAGTCTTTAGTTATGCATATCATTATCAGGACAAACCCTGCAGGCTACAAAACAGAACACCAAAGAGTGCATAGCAAAGATAATTTTACATACTTTATGTTGTAAGAGTATCATGAGTCATTTCAATTCAATACTTTTTTAGTATTGAAATATTTAGAGGGTTATTATTTTAGAAATCCGTTGAATTTCAAGTCTGATCAAATTTGATTCCTTAGTTTCAATGTTGTTGGAAAATGTGTAATGCATATAGGTAAACCAACAGTTAACAAGATGCAGCCATAACCAAAAACTCTCTCTCTTCATTACTACATGTCAGGCTTTGATGGAAAAAAAATCTCTCCAAAACAGAAATTGCAACTGTGTTTTCAATCTGAAACATGTTCACACTTGCTTGCAGTGTGTGTTCAAAGATCTGAGTCATGGTTATGGTCCAGAAGGTTATCTGTGCCTGTTGTGTTGTTAGCCAAAGAATCGACTTGTGCACACCCGTGGTCAAGGAGGTGAAGAAGGGTGATGGGCCCAGGTGACTCCTTAAGCAGCAGTATTGGGATGCATAGGGCTTCAGCTTCTGTGGTTGCCAATGGAAAAACTTGGGTATGGTAAGAGTCTGTGAAGACCATTGAGAAGGGCTTTCAGTTGCCCTGTTTTCATCAGGACAACTGCTGACCCGGACAGAGGATATTGTTCGACAGTGGAAGGAACACTCTGAGGTACGCTGGGACAAGAAGATCTACCGGTGGATCAATGCTGTGTCAGCAGTAACACAGATGTTGAATCAGACCTGACATGGTGAAGAGGGAGCTGTGCCTGAAAGGCAGGGTAGGCAAGTTGGTTCTAAAACACTTTTTGTCATATTTGTTGAAACTGTCTATATACACCAATGCATATTAAAAAGTTAGGTGCACTGAAAAAGAGAGTATAAAAATCGGCTGGTTGTAGTCTTCTCAGGGCTGCGGTAAACACAGCCACTGGTTCCATTCGGACCGAATACAGTGATTGGCTGACTGACTGTCACACTCCCTCGCTGCCATGGCTACCAGCCCTGCTGCTACAAGAGCTGCCCCCATGTGCACACCCGGTCAGCTCGCTCAGACCTGACGAGCGAAGAGGTCAGACTGGTGGGTGATATCTGCATGGCTTTTCAACGATAGTGACTACTGAGGAACACAGAGGGGCTGACACAGCGTGGTGGCTTTATTTCTGCTGGAGAGGTAATCTGGCTTTTATCAGTTTGATGGTAATTTGTTACTTTCATCGCTAGCAAACGTAGCTACCTACGCATAGAGCTAACGGTAGCTACCTACTTAGCATACAGCTAACTGTTGCTCTGAGTGCAGACTGGTGTAGGAGCCAGAGTAGAGACGATAAATTCTATCTAGCTGTAGGTAAGCTGGAAAACAGCAGCTGTGTTTTCCGACGCTAACATTACGTTAGACAATGTAAGTGTAGCCTGTGCCGGTTTAGTTATTCACCATATAACTTAGGTTTATTGTTATACTATGTTTACACCTAACTTTACGTTATCTTTACCTTGTATCTAATCTGTTTGTGTGATTATCTTGTGTCTGCAGTTGATGTTTGACTGTGTTTGACTATGTTACTTTTACAAATGTGGTGATGTAGCTGTGTGTTTGTAGTTATGAAAAAGACATTTCAACGTTAGTATACATAAACAATGATGGCTAAAGGTCCCCAAGGATCTGTTTCTGGTATAAAAGCTACCTATAATATAGTTTGACATTGTTCATAGCTAAACCTACTGTGGGAAAACCTTTTATTTTAAATTGTGCTGTTATGCCTTTACTTATTTTACCAGAAGTAAAAAAAAAAAAGCCCTATATGTTTTATTTCTACTGTGCCCTCAGGTCACCTGCAGATATGGAGTCTTTCACAGCCCTGTACCTCTCACCAGTATACGCTGAAAGAACATTCATCTACATGATATTTTTATTGAAAAGGGGTTCGTTGTTCTCTAACAGGACTTCTGTGTCCACATTACACACCAGGTCAATGTACATGACACAGATGAGCCGATGGCTGAAGCAGAGCTGTAGTTGTTATAATCAGTAAACAATAATAAAAAAGTAATAACAATTTTTGACACCCACAGGGCTTAGGGGGAAACACCAGAGAAACTTTGAGACAAGTACACTGGGAGACAATAGACTAATATTAAAATATATATACCTGTTCATATGCCATTGTTGGAGTGCGAAGCTCGACGCAGGTATGTGCTGCTCGGCTTGCACCTTGTCCTTCCCGTCCTGCCTCTTCTTCCACGGACCCTGGCAGCCCTCCCTCCTCTGCTTCGCCTCGACCCCGGGCCTGTCCCGGTCCTGTCCCGGTCCTGACCCGGTCTGTGCTTGGCTCTAGAGTGCAGTTCTCATCGGAGACAATAATGCTGTCACAGTGGAAGCTCTAACATGCAAAACAACATACATGTTATGAGTCTAACACAAAATTCACGTTCGTTTAGTGTAACTGATGGAAACGGGAAAATGTCTATCAGCCTGTTTTTAGCTTTGCCCAATGTTAGCTAGCACAGCTACCTGTTGCTACCAGTTAGCTAGCCAGCTCGTTACTCAATCAAAGTCAGTCGTTTTAAACCTATACAATATTAACATGCTAGCTTGATAGTGAGTACTAACAACCGGGTTATTTGTTTATTTTCATAATGATAAAGTTAAATGTTTTCTTACCCCTGATGTGAGCCGCTGCATCGTGCTGCCCTCCGCTCGTCACACTGTGCTTGTCCTCCGGCAGAGTCGGCAACGCGCATTCACATGTTTTGGGGGCGTGGCTTTGAAAGGATCCCAGAAGGGAGGGGGTGGGAGTTTCTCTGTTGGATACTTTCAAAAATGCAGCAGTTTCTTGCTAGTTTCTCAAACTTACCTACCCTGCCTTGAAGTCAAAGCTCTGGATTTACTGGCTGATCTATGTTCCAATCATCACAGTCAAAAGCACTGGGTAATGACCAAAACTACGAGATCATGGATACAAGTTGCCAATTTTAGTTTTCTTTGCAGGGTCTCTGGACTCATCCTTAGAGATAGGATAAGAAGGACAGACGTCCATAAGGGACTCAGCGCAGACCCACTGTTCAGTTGAGGTGATTCAGGCATTTCATTTGGATGCCTCCTCCCTGTGGAGGTATTCGCGCCAGGTCTACAGGGATAGAAAAGAAGACACTTTAGGGATTCCATCTCACACCTGGTAAATCAACACCTCTGTCAACAGGATTATAGCTGTTGTGCCTTCACTTCACAATAGTTGAAATTAAAATGACCCGGTCAATATGCATGTCTACAGTACATTCAGTGAATTGGGCTCTGCTGGATTTGGGAAGACCAATAGCCACCATTAAATTAGATTTTAGGACAGGTTTTAGTGGTTTTGATTGATAGAGGCCACTGTCCTGCTCCGTCAGTTCAGTGTTGTGTTTCTCACAACTTTAAAGGACAGGGTATTTTATACTTACCACCAGTGGAGTGAACTCAATTTTCTCATACAGGATTGGCAAAAGTGAATTATTCATCCTATCTGTCCCTCCAAGCTGTTTGCTAATACAAAGGGACCAGAAGAGAACTACACCAGAGACCTGCGCATTGGCTACATGGTTTTGCATGTGTGTGAATTGTTGGTCCCCTACAAGTCATTTGAGCTCACTCTTCTAGGAGTATGATTATTTTTATGGGTCTGTTCGCTGGTAAAAGACTTGCGTGGGGGCTTCACAGTCTTTGTACTACATTTTTGTTAATTTAGTTTCATTTCTTTTAAGGGATATATTTTTAATTTGCTTGGCTACTCCTTGTTTCCTCATCAGCCAATAGATAAGGTTTAGTAGCCACTAAACCTTATCAAACCAGATTCGACATAAAGCCCCAGCCCGGCCTCATTCCCAGGTCATCAAATAGTGACGCTTTGTCACAGCCCCCAGCATCAGATGCACCAAGCTGCCAGAAAGCCTTTAGGATGTCATTTAACATAGTATACAAAGCGACAAAATCAGCATAAGAAGGTTGTTGGGGTGGATGGACGGGTAAAACAAATACAGGGCATTCACCCAGGAGACAGAGGTTTGTGTCCCGTGTAAAACCAAAAGTCAACAGTGATTTTTAAAAGTTTTAAGTTACATAACGTTATATCATGTGTGTCTTTTATTTATTTTAACCCAAACCATGACCTTTTCCTTAACATTCCTTAACAAAATAGTTTTGTGGCCTAAACCCAATCAAACTGCAACCGTTTCACAACTTTAACCATGTGTTAAAAATGCATCTGTATTTGACAACCTGGAAATGAGAATGCATTGGAGCCCACTGAATTGGCATTGGGGCGGTGTGCAGACACTGCAGTATGACCAGCAGATGAGTCTGCCCCACATGTTTGGAGGAAAGTGGTGCTGACCAGTCTGGGATGGCATCCCTTCTGAATGGTCAGAGCATGACCAATAACATTTTATTGTTCTCAGTTGTTATGCCTTCAGAACAATGTATTAAGAGCACCATATTTTCTTCTATAAAATTGCTTAGTGCTTCCAGTATGTCATACCCCTCCCTCCTCAGGTTTTCTGTCTATCCTGTCACAAACGGATCTGGCAAATTGCCTTAAAATATGTTTGATTCATTTTCTTTTTCTTTGTTGGTTAGGCTTTCATTTTAAAACTCAGTACTCAGTTTGCTACATTTAAGCCTGCCATCAAGACTAAAATGGCAAATCCCTAAACACCTTAAATGGAGAAGTTTGAAAGTACTGCTGACCCCATATTTGTTTTAAATCCTTACGGTAGTGTATTAGTGCAGACAGGCGTAAACGTATGACTTTGAAAACGATGACGCAGACACTATGTTTGGCTTCCTAATTGGGTCTTATCAGCCATGCAAAGCAAAACACAATGCTACTGACAATGTTTTTGTTTTTATATTTTATTAAAATATTTTGTACTATTCAAATACTGTGAATGCCACCGTATTTACTTCATTCGTCTCTATTAGTTCTGTCTTCTTTAGCCAAATTTTCTGCAACTGCGGAGTAGACAATCGGCTTCCTGTTTACACCGGTACAAGCATGCCCAGTGTAACTGAATGTCCACTTCAACTGTGTTTTCAGTTGTTTTTATATAGACAGAGATATGATTATTCCATTCTGATATGCAGCTAAAATGCTGGTGTGGAAGGAGATCCTTTTTTTTTCACAAAAACATGTATCCTTAGGGTTGTGCATTTGTTACACTCATTAATTCAATTACTCAGTCATTCAGTCATTTATGCTTTGTGTTTTCTGTGGAACTAAGCAAAGCCCAAAATACATGTGGGTGTTTTCATAATGATGAGTTTCACAGTGTTAATTTAGGTTATACTGATGTTCATTTTCAAAAGCTTCAGCATAGCATACAAAACAAGTTGATGGTGAAAATTTTGACATGTCACCGTATTTACTGGCCTACATATTCTTATATATTAAAGCTGCACCCTTCAAGGTTCACATGCCCGCTGGAGCGTTCCCTAAAGTGTGTCAGAACAATATAGGCCACATTAAAAGCATCTGCATCAGGAAAACTTTGTTTGATTTTCAGAATGAGAGTTTCATGACCAGTTCACAGTTGAAGGACTGTCGCAGACATTGACTTGTTTGTGAACTTGCACATCGGGAATATCTTACGATCAACAACTGTTGGTTTAATTGCAATCAGTCATGAATAACAACATGCGCTGAAGCGTCACACACACTTGGGAAAACTTGTTATTGTGTATATTCTGGAAGGGAGGTGGCCTTATGGCATCATCCTAAACCTGCCAATTTACCTTTTACCCAGAGGGCTGTGGGGAGCAAAGACTCAGTTGGGCATGCAGAGACAAGCAAGTGTTTTCGACAAGACTGATGACATCTGGCCCCAAAGCAATGAAACAGGAGCTCACCAGGTGTTGTGTTGGAAATTAATTAATTTAGAGTTTTAATGGAAGGTTATCTTGTCACTTTCAAAACAAGTTGCTCACATTAATTAGCAAGACTACAGCAGATTCATTATTCGGTACAGGCTACACTAATTAGTTTTTGGATATTGGAGAGAATAAAATATAATCTTTATGTTAAATGTCACAAATCTGGCATGTCAGAGCCTGTTTAACACACTTAATGCAAGTGCAAAAAATAGTTATTGGGATTTCTCATTTAGATCCTTTTGTCTTTACATACTGATTTCAGTGAAAGGACAACAACACAAACACTCCACAGTAACACTCCAGAGTAAGCCATATACACTAAATGTCTCATGACAAAATATGTACAATGTACATGTGTAAAATGTGCAAAATTATCATAATAACATGAAATAAAAAGCTTTGAGCCTAAATCGAGACAATAAATAATATAAATTTCATCTGTTTATCAAGGGATCAACACAATCTTTTGGGGCAAAGTAACCTTGCTTCTTTATTGAAGCTTTAATGGATCTTGGCCTGCTCTCCAACCATCCCTCACAGGACCTTTTGGCTAAGTTTGTTGGCTGAGTACATTCTGGCCCAAGAATTTACACAGCTTGGCTTTGTTCACTGAGTTGTAACTCTAATGTCTGCTTGTTGACATTAAATTTCAGTCAGGTTTATAGTATATCTGGGCAGACCAAATACAGATTTTCCTCTACAAGCCCCTTTATATGTTGTTCTATTCATACATCCTTCAGAGAGATGAAGCAGCCTGGTTACATCAAAAGCACCCCCGAATAATCTGATATCATCTGCCAATGTCATATTTGGCAAGGACCTCTCCAGGTGTCCATATAATCACAAGACAGCCAGGTGTTGGGCAGAGAGAAAAAACTCAACACAAAAGATGACCTTACACAAGTCCTTCTGGCTCTGCTGCTCTTTGGCAAACAAAGCACTAGTGTGCTTTTAAAAATTTCAGTCCTACTGGAAGTAAGGATTGGTACTTCACATCAGATGATGTTTCTCTGTATTTGTGAAGGTCACATAATGTGATCCTTTGATTCATGAAGCAATGTCAGATTTCTGAACATTTTTAACTCAGATGAAAAGCAGTGCACAGTGTCCTCTGGTATAAAGTAATCTTTATTATAGCATTGAATTGAGAAAAACATTCAGTCTAAAATCGTTTTTAAGACACGCAGCCATTGAAACTATAAACCATGCCAAATGAACTGTCTGAACGCCTGGGTGAGAATCAAGGTCATATGGTTTTAAAGTATTTGTACCTACATAAAAGAATCTTTTTGAACACTATGAGCAACTGTCAGGATTTTCTCTTCTACACAATTCTCGGGAGGAACATCACAGGGGAAGTCCAAATTTAAATTTAGATCAACTTTTTAGCTTTGTTATAATCTCACTGACTTAAAGTGGCTATGTTTTCAGAGGCCTCCAGTGGTGAGGTAACTTTCCAAGGCTATGCTCACGCACATGCTCAAATTAATGAAGAGCACTCGGCGTCGGTCAAAACCATAGACTGGATAAAAGAAATGGATGTAGTCATCGTGACATCACCCATTGTTTTGTATATTGGCATCTTGAAGCCTCAAGTTTGGTAGTTTGTACGCTCCCATGTTGATTTTTTGCAACTACCTACCGGATGTGACCATATTTGGACGATGCTAGAAAGCTTGGTTAGCTAGGTGCATCTGTAATTCACATTACCTGTGATTTTAACCGTGATTCTAATTTTGGCTAGCTAACAACAGTCTTAAAACAAAACGTACTCAGGTAAACTCTCACTGCAACATTACAGTACTATTTTTTTATCAGCCTGACGTTGAACTAA